AGAAATTGACATTTAATGAGCAGAATCCTCGCTCCCACGCAGCCTCGATGCTAGTTTTCTTTCAAACACTAAAACAAAAATATTAAAAATGTTCTTAATATTTTATTATTTTACCCAACAGCCTATTAAGTATAAGTATATAAACTTAGGCGATGGATTTAAAAATATAAATTTCTGAAAACTATGAAACCAATTTGTTTTGCTTAATTCTTAATTCTGTTTTAAACAGTGCAACAAAAGTATAAACCTAGCTTTTTTTGAAGCAATATTGTATGGTAAATACCAATAAAGTAAGCTGACTTTTTATTTCTTTATATTTTTTTTAGCATTAATATGAAGTAAGAAATACAATAACTATATAAATAAGACTTTTTGAGGAAATAAATTTATATTTCAAATGATTTAAATAGTTTAAAATGTTTAAGAAACACCTTGGAAATATGAAAAAAAAATCTTTTTTTAGCCTTGATACTTGGACTCAAATTAAAAATGATTTTTTTAGCAATAGAGATAACATCGAATTTTTCTTGAGTGTCATCATAAATCCCGGCTAGCCAGGAGCTCGTTTGTGCAACACCTTTTGTTATCGCCGAAAACACTTGTCCTGGGGTCCCAGTGCTCCTCGCTGCTCAGTCGGTTGGCAAATATTACATTGTTACCTGGACTGTCGCTTGTTTGTTGTCTGGTGTCCGTCTGGTCGATGGGGATTTTCGATTAGCTCTCACACATATCAAAATCGGACGTTAATTGTTTTCAGGTTCGTGGCATGTCAACAGCTTCGAGCACGTCGCCGGGTTCAACGATATTTTCTGCCCGATTTATCTGTCTAGCCGGTTAAATTTTATGGAATTGTTTTGTTTGCTTACACTGAGATTGCAACAATTACGTATGAATCATGGTTGCAAGGCAGGGTCTTTACGTCTGGGCTTAAGGAGTGTTTTAATGTGATTTTTGGTCACTATATTAGTTTTTAATGATCACTCATTTTAATTGACAATGAACGTATACACAAGTTGCCTAAAAATAAATTAGTTTAAGAATATCCTAAAATTTGTTCTTATATAACTGATGTTCCAAAAAAAAATGCAAACTTTATTTTAAAGCTTGGCTAAAACTTTTAATTACAAAAATAAAATACTTTTCAAACTTAAAGTGCTATTGATTGCCTTGCATGTGGCATTTCTTTGCTTACAAGCAATTTGTACTTGCTATTAAAATCACAGTTTCCTTCATTTCACACAAATTAACTTTGAATGGAGTGCTCGCAAATCGCTTGACTTTTGCGCTTTTGTTTGCCCTTCCAATGAATTAAAAACCCTGGCACACACGCAAACATATCAGCGCAATGCAAACAAGTGCTGAGGCGAGACAAGGGTCCTCCACTTTGACCACATTGCGGCCAAGTACTGGTCGCATTTTGGCCCAACAGCACCAGCTGTTGTTGCGATCCACCCACCCAAGGTCCAAACAAAACCCACCCACCCAGTCAGCCATCCATACACCCACCACCTTGCAGCCACCACAAATTCCACCCGCGAAACAACCGACTGAATTCTAATAATTTTAAACAAAAACAAACTTTCTGGCCACATGCCTCATGCCCATGCACTTCGGCATTATAGAAATTACAATGAGCGAGTTTAGAGAATTCGTTTCGAAATTTCACGCCACCGTCTGTGACGAAATTTTTTTATGCCAAAGGACAAGTGCAGCGTCGCAGGATAACTTGATGAGTCACCCCCTTTTTCAGAGCGGCAACCCCCGGGTGGCAAGTGGAAATACATAGGTTGCTGCAACACGAAACCGAATCCGAGACCCAAAAAAGCATCGCAACCCCGTAGACACACAGTTGCCACTTTTAATCAGCATGAAAGTTCCCATTCTGCCCGGCTGTTCAGCTATTTAAGGGTCCCGGAGATTCCCCCGAATTAAAAACTCAGCCGAAAATGAAAATTTCTATACTGCGTTAGTTTTGTTTTCTGTTCGTGGCGAAATAAATGAATGCATGAATTCCAAAGCAATTTTGATGTTGACATTGAGTAATGTTGGCTCCGTTCAGCCTGGCTGCTTTATTCCTACAGCTCCTTCGGTGGGTGGTTGTTTGGTTTGGCATTTTCATATCATTTTCGAATATTACATGCGGATTAGCATTTCCTCATTGGGATTGCAACAAAACGTGTGCCCATCTATTGGGGGGGTTTTCGGTGGGGTGTTTTGGTCGATGGCATGGGGAGCACTGCAAAAGGGGGTGGCTCACTGCAGTGGGTGGGTGGTTTGCCCTTTTGTCTGGGGGAGTGTGCTGTCGATTACCCTCGGAAGGTGTTTTTTAGTGCCCTTAAAGGTTTTTGTTCCAAAGAAATTAAAGTTGTTAGCATATTGCCGAAATACGGAAATTGACGCAGGAAGAGATAAAAGTAACAATGAAGGTTTGGGAAAAAGGGTTACACAATAACACAGGTAAGTTCGTTAAAAGCACTTTAGGAAAATTGTGGAATAATTAGAAAAAAAATGTTGTCGTTAAATACATTGTTTAATAAATATAGTTAATAAAATTAAAAGTATAGAATACGGTCATCCCAAATATGTAGTTTAATTAACCCCAGTTCTTGTTATTTTACATTAACTCAGATGAATTTAAAGAAGTAATAAGATAAAAGATAAAGCATACATAAATCAATGAATGAATATAGTTAATAAAATTAAAACTATAGAACACAGTTATCCAAAATACGTAGTTTAATTAACTCCTGTTCTTGTTATTTTTAGTTGTTAATTGTTGTTGTTGTTAATTTAAAGAAGTAATAAGATAGAACAATTAAAATACATTATATTCAAATACATCACAAAAATGAAAACAGTTTATGCAGACTTTAAGCTAAAGAATTCATGTTACCATTATTTAAACCCTAGTGTTGTGGAATTTCAACAAGAGTTATAGGCATTATTCCTTGTTTTAACCATTTCTAAAGCAAATAAACTTGATTTAATTGAAATAATAGTTATTCAACCAATTTTATACAATTATTTTCCATAATTAATTTCCTCATTTATTGGAAAACTCGTAACATCGAAAGTAAAACAGTTCCCAATTCCATAGCAAACATTTCCGAACATCCGGCACCGCATTGCATTCATAGTTTCCAAAACTCAAATAGCTTTCTTCATTTTGACTTTAGAAAACTTAGCATAATCTTAGCGTATACCTTCAACAACTTTTGGCTTTTACAACTCGACTTTCGGACAAGTTTAAGGAATTTACCAAATCAACAGCCTTTCAGAAATCGAATGGACGTGGAGGGGGGAATTCTTTGGAGTTGGGAGGAGAAGGATGGAGGAGGGAGGTGAAAACCCAACGTCGAACTAACTTTTCAATTTTCTTTTCACGCTCGCATTTTACAAGCTGCCACATGATTAGGGTCAATGGTTTGCAGGCCCCTACGTTCCAACCCGCTACGAAGCTGCCAAATTTCACACTCAGTTCTTGATTCGGAAATAACTCGAACGAACAAACACCTAACGAACTCAAAGTTGGGGGGCCGTATCTCTCAATCTTGTCATCACAGCGATTGCAATCATAATCACATTCACTGAAAATCTTATTATTAACTGACAGTTTATTAAAAACTCATTGGGTTGTCTGGCCAGCTCTGATTTGTTTGCCAGCATTACTGTTTGCCTTTGGTCCTGTTTTGGTCCCGTGTTTGGTCCCTTGTTTGTTATCGAGATCATAGACACATGTCCGGGGATGGCTGATTACCGACGCCAGATAAATATTAAGCAACTACATAAAGGGCTTCCTCTTGGATTTTTGGAGAAGGATTCGGTTGACGACGTCATCGAGGCTCATTGACTCCCCGCCAAGGGCACAAAACTGCTTCCCCCAACTGGTAATGAATTTTTTTGGCTTCGAGTGCTATCAGCATATACTTGTACACTCGTATACGAGGGGAATCCCCCAGCCAGCCAACCAGCCAGCCAACTCCACTCAAGTTGTTATTGTTGTTGTTTTGGCACGTGGCAACGTGCAACGTGGCCAGGAAATGCCCTGAAATTGATTTTTATTTTCATTTTAGTTGAGAGTTTTTGTTTTTTTGTCGAGCCCCGGGGTCTTGGCGTAATTATTTCTGTCCTCTGTTCCAGCATGTGATTAGATTTTCCAGCGAAAGTTTACTCAGCTTTGTTGTCGCTCAATGATAATTAAAAATGATTAGCTCATAAATATTTCCTCCTGTCGAGGGGAGAGATTTATAAGAAGGTAAATACATAGGATAGCAGATGCCCCGAAGGCCAAGAAAATATTCCGCATGAAAAATAAAGTCTTATTGCTAATTTAGGAGTTGCGCTTTTAAGGGGTGAACGTTTTTGAATACAAATTAATACCAATTTTAAAGATTAAAATATAAATATAATTTTAGAATTATAATTAGGTTCTCACAAGTGCATAACGTCGGCAATATTTTCACAGTTTACTTCCAAGCCATTCATCTGGGTTACTATAAATTATAAAAAGGTTATATAAGAAATAAAATCGATTGGTGTATTCTTACACAAACACTTTATAGCTTCCAATTCACAGTGCGTAACATTACTCCACTTGATACCAATATATTGACTGCATATTTGACTTAGCCCATTTACAATTTTATTGTTAATTCCAATTTCAACTTCAGTTTCCTTACATTTTATTAGAATATCATTGCACTTAAAGAGATTACCAAAATAGTTAGCTTCACTGCGAATCAAAACACTGAAAACTTTAAAGGGCTTAAAGAAAATAATGACAACATTAATTTAAGACCTCTTACTCAAAAGCATCAATATTCTCAACATCTTGACTCAAACTAAAGTGCAAATTGTACAATGCAACGCTTATATATTGTTTTTTTTTTGAACCCATCTGTTTTAGTTTATTTGAAACAATAAGTTAATTATTGATGTCATATTTGCCTTTAATTTTTGTTAACATAATTTATTGATAAAGAAATCATTTTTTATCAAAACTACAGCTGCAAGGTCTCGGCAATATTACCGCAGGTCATATCATCACAACGCCGTAAGATCACTGAAATATTTAATTCATAAGAGAACAATTAAACGTATGTGTTTAAATTAACTCACAGAGGCAGGTTGCTTTTTCCATTTCACATCGAGATACATTTTTCCATCTTCGATGCTGTCGACGACAATGTCGATTAAAGGAATCAATGGTCTCATCAAAACTTCCTATTCTGGGTACAAATCGTTGACAATCGATGTACACATTCTCACAGTATTGTTGATTCGATTGAGCTTCAGTACTAGAGAAGTGCAGGACGCAAAGCACTGAGAAAAAAATTAATTCAGGCTAACTATAACAAGGTGTAAGGTGTAAGGTGTAAGTCTTACCCAAAAGCAGTGAAGCTTTCAACATTTTTAATCAAAGTATGATACAAAAACTGATTCGTTTCTACCCGTGAGGTTGTATTTATATAGGAAGGTTGATCTCCTAAATTCAGATTTATTTTCAGATCACTTAATAAAGGGCACCACCTTTCACATTTTTTATTGGCTTTCCCTAAAATTGGTTATGTGTCCTCGTTCTTTTTTTGTTCAGCTGTCTTTTGCTCTCAATATGACAAACTATAATACTCTCCTTGCTCTGATTTAAATTGAATAATTTCTTTGTTTCGCAAAGCATTTTCCAAGTGTTCTGGTCTATAAAACCAGATGCATCATGCCGTTACTATCAGTTGATGTACATCAGATTTATTCAAAATGCGATGTCTTTGCGTAGTATCCATTATTTTTATCCTTTGTTGCTTGTCAATAAAGGGACAACGTTTAAATTGTAGCAGAATTCGTGAAAATTGTGAGCCCTGTATCCGCCGTTTGGTGGATCCCATCAACAATCTGGACTTTATAAACAGGGATTGCAGGGAAAGTGTCGGCGAACGTTGGGTTTGGCGTGATGTAAGGCGTTGTGACATGCAGATTGTTGCCTGTGAAAGTAAGAACTCTATGAAGTGGCTACTAAAAACATAATCATATACAACCCTTTATTGCAGATCATGACAGCAAACTGGATTGTGATACCGTGGCTAGGTTGGCTGGAATGAGAAGGCGCCATTAATTTTAACTGATTGAAAATAAAATCAAAAGTTACTAAAAATATTTTATATTTTATAATATTCTTAGTTATAACTACCACACCTTTTTATGTGCACAAAAAATAAATTTGGTGATGGTTTAACAAAATTGAAATCAATAAAAGAAGATTTTTTTTATAATTTGTTTTCTTTCACAAGAGTAAATTCATTTGAAATTTCAAATTATCGACAAAAATCAAAATTTATATTAAAAGTTGGTTAAGCATTAATTTAAATTGCATAAAAATATTAAACATATTTCTGTGTATTAAAACCACAAGAGGTTTCTTACTTTATTATACTAAATTTTTGAAAGATATTAATTGATATCTCCCACACTTCCACGCTCAAAGGGAAAATGGATTGCCTAGTTATGACCGAGCTCGCTGACGTACTTAAATATATGCCCACCAGCAACATGATTTCCCGAATCCAGCTAAAATATTAAAAGTGATTTTGCCCAAATAAATGCATATTTGCGAAGGGATTTGAGATGGTTACTATAGCCTGTCTGCCCAGCCAATAAAGCGATATGTTCTTGTCTTGATTTTGGTCTTGGTTTTGGTTTCGTTCTTGGCCTTCAATTTTTCTCGGCCCTCAGCTTGGAGCCCTTCCAGGAATCAACAGTCGCCAGCAGAGTGCATCTTCCACGTACGGGGCATTATCGTAAAGAAGGGCCCGTCCAGCATCGCGATGAGTTGAGCCAGGCACGCACAGCACATCGTCATGCTTGTCTTACACTTGATGCATCCTCATCTCGTCTGGCAGTTCTTCAAAACTTCTCACTGTCTAAGCTGCGGCAACCCCCCTCCTCTCCCATCTCTCGTCAAAACATAATTTTTCAAACGAAATTGTTTTGATTTTCTTGATGCCATAAAAAATGGGAATTTATTACTCGGCGGTCTGAGATTACAGTCACTGTTTTGGCTGAGACGCCAGACGGCAGTTCAACTGGAGAGTGTTGAACTTGAGGAAACAAGTTGTCTATTTACTTGTCCTAAAATTGGCTGCGATCTGAGTTCTAGTCTATAATTAAGATCTATCCTGAATTATTTACACAATTTGAGGGCTATAAAAGTTATCGATAGAGCTACAGAAGCACACAGTTTTCCAGAACTTCACCAAGAGATTTCAACAAGAAACTAATTCTGATCTGATTACTGGGAGGCTTGAAAGTATTATTACATTTATTACAAGTGTCTTCTTACAATCAGCTTTGCTCTGCTGCAATATGCGGAGCACAAGCTCTGAAGCCTGCTTGGAGATAATTGAGCATGGCCTGGGCAAGGAAGGTGGTCGGAAGGACCCGTGAGAACCACTAGAAGACGTAAGACGACGAGGCCTAGACCTTGCACTCACAGAAGAAAGACATTATCATAAACATAACATCCATTAGGACCACTAGGAAGTCCATTCCTCCAAAGATTCTACCGCATTGCACAGAGAAAACTACTGAGAGGACCAAGCCATTTTGCACTGAAAGGACTACTGAAAGGACAACTGAAAGGACAACTGAAAGAACTACTGAAAGGACAACTGAAAGTACTGTTGAAAGGACTACTGAAAGGACCTCTCCACATTGCGCAGAGATGACTAAAAAACGAACTAGTCCACCTTGCACTGAACAGACTACTGAAAAAAACCTCTGCTCCTTGCACAGACAAGACTACTAGAAATCCTTGTCCACTGGAGACAAGTCCTTACCCAAAGACAACACTTGCAACTTCTACTCAAAAACCCACCAGGCTGGAATCCTGGCGGTTCTATACAGACATCACCTTCAAAACACTGTATATGCAATACGAAACACCCACCTTTAACAACCACAAAAAACCCAAGAAACGAAAACTGACCAACGGAATTGCAAATGAAAACTTCTTTTATATTGTTAATAAAATAAATTGTTGTGCATTTAATTGAATGGTAACGTGTCTACAGGCGATACACGAAATATGAGCAAACGATTTCTGAAATTTAATTGTTATGCATTGATTGGGTTTTAAGTTTCCTTTGCTCCAGTCAGAATTTTCTGTTATGTTGATTTAATAAAACTGAGAAAGGCATGGCTTCTCAATATGCTTTTAATATAAACTGTGTGAACGCGTGTGTGTCCGTATGAAGTGCTTTTTAAATACTTGTAGCGGTTTAAGCTTTTACCCTCACCAGCCATTGGACCAGCTGCCCCGACACCAAAACTCCCACCCGACACCCACTTGAGTTCACGTCATGAACATGATTATGTACTTTATGAATGTGCAGAGGAGCGATTGCAGTATCTAAAAAAGAACGATGATAAGATACCCTTTTAAAGTAAGTAGCAATATGTGTTTATATCGTAAATTATCTTTAAATATATAAATATATTTAAATATAAATATTCAAGTCGGTCAATGCATAGTTAAATTCAGTATTTCTAAATCATATTAATACTAACCATATTATTCTAGATTATGTTTAATGATCTTATAACCTCAGTAAAAAACCAGATTAAATATTTAAATTGAAGATTTAATATAGAGTTACTTTACTCTATAATTTATTTTATAGGAAATATTTTTAAAATATTTATTTGTATATTTGTTGCATAGTAGGGTGAACCCGTTAAAATATCAGGGTATATGTGGTCATGATTTTTCCACTCTGCCTGTGCCAACTGCTTATATAATATTTGAAAATTGAAAATCTTTTTGACGCTGCACTTGAAAAATGCTTAGACCAGGCCATGATGATGAACTTTATAAAACTCTTGACCACATTTGCCGCACCCGTCACCCCTTCCCGCCCCTCCCCTACCATTTTAAGCGTCTTTCCTTTCCACTTTGGACATGTCTGACCAGCTGACGTCCGAAAAAGTGTTTAGAGAAGGGTCGCAATGGGACCGAGGACTGGGGATCCAAAGCAGGGGTATAAGGAATGCATTGCACTTGACTTTAGCGCCACTTGTAAGTGTAAATTTTATTTGAGCCAGCGTAGTAGGTACACATGTAGATACTCACATTCAACCATGCCCTTTGTCAAGAGCTCCAAAGTGCCGGGGCCAGCGATATTGGCGTTCGCACTCGGACTTGGTCTTCGACTTGGACTTGGAAACATTTTGGACTCAGTTACGTTATCCGCTTTTTCATTTTGTTTTTTTTTTTTTTTGGCCCAAAGTTTGGCATCGTGTCGCTGACAGCTAAGTGGTGATAATCGCTTTTGAATTGAATCTGAGCAAGTAAATTTGCACGCAGACCAAGTTGAAATTCGAAAACGCAACAGTGCAACGATGCAAGAGTTTGGACACTGGCCATCGGACAAAAGACGTCACTTGTTTGGCTTTGTTCTGTCCCCTTTTTTTGGGTGGGCGTTTTGGTTTTTGTGTTTTTTGGCTGCGGTTTTATTCCAAAAGACCAGTTAGAGGGCTTCGAGGATGGGGCTACTGCGGTTTGTTTGCCTGGTTGCTGTGGCTTCTAATTTGTGAACTGGATTTGCGGCTTCAAGAAACGGATGGGCGACGACTCAGCTGGACTTGTAAGTCATTAAATCAGGGCTTAAAGCCCCAAGCACCAGTGCTTCTTTAATTGAAAAGTTTAAATTGCATTTTGTTAAACTAAATAAAGCAAATTAGAAGAAAATCTCTGAAATCTGAGTCATTTAACAAAATTGAAATATTTCATTAAAGGAACAAGATTATGCCAGAATTGTGTTACCTAATATTAAGGTTCAAACACTATAAAAATTTTAATTTTAAATCTATAGCATCCATTATCCACAATCGCTGGCAATATAGAGCATGTGAGTGTTTGATTGTAGCTTAGAATATCGAAAGCTGTTAACACAGTTTACTTTATATTTATGTTAACACAGTTTATATATATCATAAAAGGCATACAAATTTAGATGTACTTTTTAAAAATTACAGAAACAGATCAAATTGATCACATTGCCAATTTTAACTTTAAGTTCCAACCTAATAAATTAATTCTCAGAAATAAAACTATATTAATATTTCAATGCTCTCTATTTATTTTTATTGTCAATCAATTTCAAAATTTATTCAATTGAAATCAATTAATACGTTCCATGCCGGCGAGCTCAGCGATGTCATTACAATTCATGCGACGATCAACTCCTAAGTCGAAAATGTTTCAATTACAAATTAGATACCTTCAAGGTTTATTCCAAACTTACCCTGGCAGTTGAGCCTGGTGAGCTCACAACGTCCCACATTCCTCCAGCGCCAAGTCCTTTGTGTCCTTTCCCTGCAATGTCTATTCAGAACAGGCATCTCACGATCATTTCGGTTGTTCAGCCTTTCCACGCATCGTTCACACCTCCTGGTCAATTCATCGCAGTTGCTATGTTGTCCAGCGACCAAAGTCAGGCACAGGACTATAAATTCAATGTTGCCAATTAAAGGAACAATCTCCCAAAGGTGTTGAATCCAAACTTACCAGCTAACACGGTCAAAATTGCTTTGATATGCATTACTTTGGCTTGGTGGCTCTTCACTGGAACTTATCAGTTACCTAACTATTGAAGACTTGGCTCCAACCCGACTTTATATAAACACCAATCAGTATACGGATGCCGGTAAAACAGATGTTTTACAACAAAAGATTTTAAAAATTCTGTAAAAATTCGTATAATATGGCAACAAAAGCCTTACACAATTGCCAACTAACCTTTTCGTTAAATGTAGAAGAAATAGGTCATCTTTTCAGCGCATTGAAGGGCATCACTTCCCGTTCATGATAAAGACATATTTTTGAATAATAGGCACAGGTTTTCCTGAAGGCTGTCAAGCACTTTATAAAAGCCCAAGTGCGAAGTCAATTTCGGCAGTGAATTTAACCGACTTCTCAGCAGCAATACCAAGATGTCGAAAGCTACTATTATTTTTGGTAAGGATCCAGGTGGCCCTGCGAACTAAATAATCCATTATTAATTCTATGACAATCCCCATTTAAGCTATAGTTTGCCTTTGCGTGGCTGTTCAGGCTCAAACTACTGTAAGGCCACGTGATCGAGAGATTTGCCAAACTGAGAACGCCAAGTGTCTACGAAATGAACGGCGATTGGGAAGGGAAAGTGACATCTCAAACATCTTCAATAATCACTGCCGTGGAGCTGATAGATCCTGGCGCAATATTACTCGTTGCGAGCTATCTTTGGCCACTTGCCGCTGTACGTATCCCAGCCAAATTTGCAGTTTTCGATATGAAACTTATATATATAATTTCCATAAAAACTTCTTATTTACAGTGACTCTTGAAAATTGTAGCCTCATTAACTGCCAGAATGTGAAAAGAACGCTTGGGGGTGGTGGAGTCACCGGCCGTCCTCCAACTTCACCGCGAACTACGACCCGCAGGACCCCAACACCTAGGACACCATCTCCTGCACCTAGAACTCCGTCACCTCGTACTACCACCACTCGTAGGTCAGGAACTAGAACACCCTCTCCTCGTTCTACTACCACTCGTAGGACCCCAGGACCTAGGACTCCATCTCCTCGTACTACTACCACTCGTAGGTCAGGACCTAGGACTCCTTCTCCTCGTCGTACTACAACTCGTCGCCCTTTGGAAGACTAAAACCCTTCAGAACTGAGCGGCACTAAAGAAAAGTTAACTAACATCTGTGTTATTAAAAACCAATAAACATTTCAATGCTCTCTAAAATATGATGTTTCCTTTTTGTCTGATCTGTGCCCTTAAGTCAATAATAGATTTACAAAAAGGTCAAGACGCTTGGAAATCAATCTATATATACTAGATTTCAACTCATAAAATGGCATATTTAAAAAAATAAAATCATCTGATCAGCGACTTTCAGTCGAAGGAGCTTTGGTTATTATATTAGTATTTTTTAAAGTCAAAAATATTATTTAATTGGCTTTATACTATCAAGTTTAAATAAACAACTGCTTTTTATTATCTTTGAAAAATTCATATTTAATAATAAAATGAAACTAATATATAAAAATAAATATAAATCAAATATAAAGCAATCAAACTATTCATTTAAGCTATCATCGCTGTTGTTAAGTTCATCGGTAGTTTCTTGGGTACTTTTTATGTTCAGTGTAGTCGAAGCAACGCTAATCGCTTCCAACGCTTTGGCAAGATTTATTGATTTTGTTGTGACACTCTGGCTTACGTTTTTTGGCTTTTCCAATCCAATTATTTGTAAAAGATTTTTCGATTTATTACTGTAGTCTTCATTGGGCAGCGAAGAATAAAAAATAATTCCGGCTAAGCAAACGCCAAGAGCCATTCCCACCAACAGACATACGCAAGATTTCTTGTTGGATCGACCTTTTAGTAGAAGAGTAAATCATTGCATGTTTTAATTTTATTTATTTAAGAAACAAAATCTACTCACCTTCATTTAGGAGGGACCTGGTGGCCAGTTTGCTATTTAGCTTGGCGGAGCTTATCGGGATCATTCTTGGTCAAGGTTTCTCATTCGAATAAATGAAAAACATGTCTTGTTCACTCTGTTCTTTTATATTCCGCGTCACTGGAACAATTGAGTAAACATAAATTTAAAATTTTAAATTGTATGAATAGCCAAATGTGCACACGAGGTTCATAAACTCGTTCGAGCTTGTGCAAAAAAAATTAAAGAAGTAAATAAATATATACTCAAATGTCAGAAGATACTTCACATAAATACTAGAAACTCCATATGCCAGTACATATAAATTGTATTTAGCATAGTTAAAGAATTAATAATATTAAATTTTAGAATTCTAGTAGCCAATTAGAAGCCTTGATTACAAAATTAAAGAAGTGAATAAATATATACTCAAATGTCAGAAGGTACTTCACCTAAATACTAGAAACTCCACATCCAAAAATAAAACATGGGTTGTATTTTGATAATTGAAGAATTAATATTTAATAAAATACAATTTTAGTATATTTATCCCAAAATTTTTCAAATCGGACATGTTTTAGAAAAATAAATATTACTGGTCGTCAAAGTCAAAAATTTACTACATACATATATTTACAGTGAGTTACACGTTTCTTTTTGTCGTGAAACTGGACTGTGGCATTTCTTCCCAATTCATATAAAAATTTAATGCAATAACTATTGATTTAAATGTCTTTCTTATCCCTTTTAAGCTTTTTGTTTTTGTTAAAATATAATTTATAAGAAAACAAAATGAAATAGAGAGCATTGAAGTGTTTATTAATTGGCAGGAATGCAGGTTTCACTCGGTTTTCTGAATGGTCTTTCAGTTCATTCGAGGGGCCTTATTCGTTGGGTCGCCTGGCGAGCACTCGCCTAACATTGTCACAGGACAAAGTCTCACAACGTTCCAGGGTCACTGTACAAAGATTAAGTTTAAAATAAATAGTCAATATAGATTAAATAAATTAAGCTTAATTAGACCCTTACATTGGCAAGTGGCCCAGGCGAGTTCGCATCTTGAGATGTTGCGCCAACGCCTGTCTAAACGGCGACAGTTCTCGTTAAAGATGTCTGAAACATCGTTGGTCCTTCCATTTCGATCAGCTCTAGAGTCACATCGCTCCCTGATTCGCCTGCAAATCTCTCTATCGGATTGGGCCTGAACGGCCACGCAAAGGCAAATGAAAGCTAATCGAGAGTATACATTTTATTAGCTGCACAAAGACTAGATCTTTGTAGGTGCTTACCAATTACCAGTGTGATCTTCGACATGGTGATATTGCAGCTAAAAACTCGCTTAAGTTCTGTGCCGAAAACGAGCTAATACGTGGGCTTTTATAAAGTGCAGGTTTCTTTCAGGCAAAAAGGTGCATTTTTTTTAACACATGTCTTTAATACATTCAGGAATCACAGTATATGGTCTATTCAATTTGATTTAAAAGGCGTCCTACTTTTGAAACATTTCCTGAAACTTTTCCATCTGTTATAAAAGGCTTTTATCCCGATTTAAATACTTACCATATGTTAAGTACAAAACATATGCTCTATGTGACTCGCTTTGTTTTTGGTGTTTATATAAAGACGAGACTGATTGGTGTGTTCTGTAGTTCAGTTAGCTGATAGGTTCTTGTCATTACAATCTGACATAATGCATCTTAAAACTATTTGCACCGTATTTTTTGGTAGGTTTTTATTTAAATCATTTAATTACGTATTTTAATTTTGAATTGTAGTCCTGGCCTTGACTTTGGTTGCTGGCCAAGAACAGGATTGTAGGATATTGGAACGCAGCTGTGAAAGATGCGTGGAAAGGCTTCACAATCCAATTGATCGTGAGCTGCCCTTCTTCAACAGGGAGTGCAGGGAAAAGACACGAAGGACTTGGATCTGGAGGAACGTAGGACGTTGTGAGCTCTCCCGTATTAACTGCATGGGTGAGTTTTTTTATAGTTTTATATATAAGTTTTTTTGTTTAAACTGTTTTAACCTTTAGGTTGGGATCGACGCTTGAACTGTGGCGAAATCGCTGAAATGGCTGGCATGCTCAGGAGAACTGATTAGCCAAAAACTAATGATTAAACAAATGATTAATAAATAAAAACTCAAGAGAGCATTGAAGTAAAACTATAAACTCGTTTAATTAAAATGAAAAATTTAAAAGCATTAAATCTGATTAGTTGCCTTATTAAGTCAATAAATTACACAAATTAAATTTCTTCATGCCATTGATGCATCGCATAACGCACTATTCGATCTTCAATTTCGTATTTATCATCTGGATCTGGATCGTTGTGATAACTTAAATCTTGATTTAAATTTTGATCTTCTTGATCCTCGTTTGGCATTTTCGGACTTAAGACATCTAATATGCGATCATAAAGATCTTCAAATTCAGTTGTAAGATGATCATCATATGTTTCGATATTAATATCAGCTAATGTTTCGTTTTGAGGATCTGGTTGATCAATTGTTAAATGATCCTGGTTTTCGTTATAATAATCAAACGAGGTTTTCACTTCATTATCGCCATCAACGTATTCCATATCAGGCCGTGTTAAATGATCATCTGGCGGTTTTTCAGGATCAATATAATAATCTTCATGTTCACTGTTGGGTTGTCCCAAGTCTAGGGGTTTAAAATTGGTTTATCAAATTATCTTTTCTTTAACTATTACTTACCCGTTAGCAGCAGAACGAAAAGTACATTAAAGTGAACAGTAAATCCCATATTATCCTCCTCGTATATCTTATAGCTTTTAGCAAAAATTTAATACTGATGGATGGTATATTAAAATTCATTGCATTTGTTATTGCAAGCTTTTTCATATTTAAACAGCATACATTTAATGTGTGTACGCTGTTTACCTAGAATTGTATACCGAACAAGAATTTTAGCCAAGGGATCGAAGCTTTGATACCCCTACCAAGATTAAAGTTAATTCAAATTTATAAAAAAGATTGATTTGAATGCTTTAAAGTATTGTTGAAATGCTTGTTCGCAAACTCATTTTTTCCAGTATTTAAACATCATTTTTTGTTTATATTGAAAACTTGCTTAGTGACGATGCGCTCCAAGAGCGTGTGCATTGGAATCTTATTTTAGCACCATTGAATAATTTTTGTTCTGTTGAGCAGATCGTTGAAAAAAACGTTTGCTCTATGACTTTAATAAAAAAAGTGGTTTGACAGGAAATCAGTGAGTGTTATAACCTTAGTTGTTTTAAATGAATATTAAAACCATATAGTAGTACTAAACAAAATATATTTTCTAATAAGTCAGGATTAGTCAGTAAAAAGTTTTCTAAAGTTTAAAAATAAAAATAATTTTATATTCAAACAAAAATATTTATTAACGAGTCAAAAAACTAGTGACGTAGCCAAAAAAAACTGAAATACAATTTTTTAAATATCTGTACAAGTACAAAATGTTTTAGTATTTTTTTATTCGCCACGCTTATAAAATACTTAAATATTTAAGGACTTTAGTTCTGCACTGCAAAGCGATGAAAATAAACCTTTTAAGAAAATATAGCTCACTGACACACACAGTTATAAAAATCTTAAATTAATCTTTCAACATCAATTACAAAGCAAACTTGCATAATTATTTATTAAGTATCTAGATTTAGCTAATCACAGAATTACTAAAAGCTCGTAGCCATTCTCGACCACAGAGCTTTACCAATGGCCCAGGGAGAAATCCACCACAACCGATCGTGACTGAGAATGAGCCACTATATCGGCGGCTCTCGCAGGTAAACAAAAGTCGGTCAAAAATCGGCGAGAGGAAAACGCTGAAACAGGCCCGTCTGGCTAAAAAAATAAAAACAAAATAGCAAAAATAGCAAAAACTGGCAGGCAGGCGTTAATACGCGTACAAAATTGTTTAAACAAGAGACGAGATTCTGTCGCTCGATCTATCTGCTTAAATACACAATGTGATAACGAAGATAGCGGGCATTAAAACTGCGGTTCAGTCGTCAGCTGTGATCGCTGTTTTTCACACACAAAACCGAAAATTCAGAAACCGAAAAACGAAGGAGTAAAATAAATAATACATATATGGAATAAGTGTAGAGTTCAGTTTGCTGGCGGGTTACCAAAGATACGCTCACGTTTGGCGGCTCAATAAATTCGTTTTAGTGTTAAATTCAGTTTATAACAAGTTAGCAAAGTGATTGATTGATTGAGTGACGGCGTGATTGAGCTAGTCGAGCAATAATGGCTAATTATACAGTGGTGCGTGTGACCAAAGTGCAGCCATATCTGCATACGGTGGACCCTAGTTACGCGGCTTTGGCCAATGTCGATGGCTTTTACTCGCCGACTTTGGAGGCCGGATTACTTGATTTCCATGGCAATGGGAGTGGCACTGCCACCCATGCCAATCTGACGGCGGAAAGTGTACTGGTGCTAATCGGGGACGAGAACTATAGCTATCGATCCACCTCGACCATAGTGCTGATGGTTTCCGCCTGGATCCTGCTGATTCTGGGCTTTGTCTTCTGCTGCTGCGCCGAGTGCTGTGGCGTAAGCGTTTGGCGGGGCAAAAAGACACGGTCCAGCGTCGATGGGCTAAATCAGGTGGAACAGGGTGTGAGTGCCACCGCCCACGGTTCAACTGCAGGTGAGTGTTCAAGTTGCTATCATCGAAGCTTTTGTTGGGGCGCCTCGTTTGCATACTTTTAGGCAGCCATAAGATATCGATTGGCACTGGGGACGCGGAGGCAGGCAAGTTTGGATAGTCAAGTCTGGGGTCATAATTCACGAATAACCCATAAATGGCAACAATAAACGAGCAGCCAGAGGGATATTCAAGATTTTGTCAGTGCAATGTACCCTTTGGCACTGTTGTGCATTAGCAACATGTCGTAATTGTAAAAAAAAAATACTGAATCACTACTTCACAAATTTTTTGGCCCATGCTATACTACACAAAAGAATCTTGATAATATTTATAGTACGCAATTATATATTTTATAATAGTATTTTATTTATTTTGATTTATGTTTGTTGATTTTAAATAATCTTTTGTCGTTTAACCCTTTAATTAATTTAAATTCCTAGACATGAATATTAAAAAAAACTGAAACTTCTTTAAAATAAGATAGTTTGTAGGTGTAAGTCTCAATTCAATAATGTTTATATTTAATTTTTTCATAGTATTATGATCAGTGCCTTAACAATAAGCATATGCTTGTAGTGCTGGGCTAAAATTTTGAATATTACTATTATTGCTCATAGCAAAATATCATTTTTCAAAAGAATTCTGTTTAAGAAACGTTGTTTTTATGATTTTTATGAACTAACGTTTTTAACCAACCTTCGAGGGTCAAATATTCATTGACCCCACAAAAAAGGCAGGGTATTAAAACGCATTTGAATGGCCTGTCAATGCGCTTTGCTGGTATTGCTGAACTACTTTTCAAACAACACGAAAGGGTTTCTGTGTGTTTGGGAGTTTCTCTGCGGAATTGCCTGCCTCATCGATATCATAAAATATTTAGCTATTTCTCTTATTTCGTTTCGCTCCGTTTTTGGCAAATTTGGCATGCGTTTTGGCTGAAAATTGGCTTTTGGCCAAGTTAACGAAACGTTCAGAGGAATGAATGCTTCTCCACAAACATTCGTACGTAAACATACCAGCCAGGCTCGCACACACACACTGAGAAAAATTATATTACACATAATAATATATTTTCATTTCAAATTTCATTTCTTGTTATTTAAATTTTTTATTTTCAACATATTTAACAACAGTTTGATTCTTACCATCAAGACCTTAATGCGTAATTTTAAATAATTATTTCTTTTATAAGAATATTAGTTTAATTTTAATACACAATTTAATCCTAAAGATAAATATCATTTGTAAAAAGCATACGATCAGTAACAATTTATATATTAAATAAAGACACAATATTTTCAAAAATTTATGAGGCGTGCGGCATTACCAAAATTTGACGGTTAACTTAAACAATTTTTCCCTGTGCCGAAACTGTAGAATTTAGTCCGATAATTTGGTTGCATATGCTGCGCTCAATGCAGCTACTGTTTGCATCGTTGGCAATTAGCATTGTCTCGAAGATATTGCGTTTCATTAAAGCGTTATGTGTTCGAGAGTGTTTGTTTGCGCCTGTGTTTGGGAGCTATGCAGTCAATGGGTCATTTCGATAACGGCCAAATTTGTTGCAAATTTTGTTTGGCATTTAAGCCGAAACTGGGATTTGTGTATTGTGTGGCTGCCAGAAGCTTAAGTTGTTGCATTCTGCTATGGTTTCTGTCGATTTTTGGTGTGCTTTTGTGCTCTGGCATTTCAACTTAACAACCGAAACGATATTTGAACCAATTGTGAGTAAGCCCAGATGATGGGTTCAAAGTGCACATAAATAGCGTTTTGCTACGTCTATTCAATTTCAGAATGGTGAGTGCAATTAGAGTCGATGAAGATTGCGAGAGATACCTTTCATTCTCCTACGCCTTAAAATCAACTAAAATTATTGCATTCATTAAATCTTTAAATTTATAACCCTTATATTGTAAAATACCTGCATATAAAGCTGTTCCTTAACCAAATAAATAAACAAATACATAATTAAACTTAATAGTTTAAAGGAGGGTAAAACATAATGTTAACGCACCTATTTCAAAAAATAATAAAGACATTATAAACTAAAGAATTTCTATACTGTCTGTTGAGACTTGGAAAAGCAATAGGAACATTTATCACCTTTATTATCAGACCGTTAGCAAAACGCGAGATCAATAATCCTTCTAACCTACATAACATATTTCGTTTTATCTACCTTTCTGTGGGGTAAATTCCATTTATACGCCTGAGCGCATTTGGCCCATTTCGATAACAACATAGGAATCGTCTTAGTATGTCAGTGCAATAAATTCTTCCACTTTCGTTTCGAACTGGGGCCATCAAACGTGCTTGGGTCTTGCAGAGTTCCCCGTCCAATAGTTGCCTAGTTAATGCCCCTGTTCTTTATGCTCCTTTTGCCCCACACGGGCAACTTAAAGTTGAGAGCCATAAAAATTGCGCAAAGTCACAAATGTTTT